ATAAGGGTTTTACAAGGCTTTAAAAGATTTATGATGTTATTTCTATAAGAAGGTTTTAAGGTTTTTACAATGGTTTTTAAAGTTTTTTAAAGGGTTTTACAAGGGTTTTTATAGATTTAATACGTTTTTACAAGGGTTTTATGATGGTTTTAATAGAGATTAACAAGTGTTTTTAAAGTGTTTTACAAGGCTTTTTGTAGGTTAAAAGGTTTTTACAAGAGTTTTATAAGGTTTTACAAGGTTTTTTAAAGATTTTTAAAGGGTTTTACAAGGGTTTATGTAGGTTAAAAGGTTTTTACAAGAGTTTTTATAGGTTAATACAAGTGTTTTATAAGTGTTTTACAAGGCTTTAAAAGATTTAAGATGTTATTTCTATAAGGAGGTTTTAAGGATTTTACAATGGTTTTTAAAGTTTTTTAAAGGGTTTTATAAGGGTTTTACAAGGGTTTTTATAGGTTAATACGTTTTTACAAGGGTTTTATGATGGTTTTAAAAGAGGTTAAAAAGTGTTTTTAAAGTGTTTTACAAGGCTTTTTGTAGGTTAAAAGGTTTTTACAAGAGTTTTATAAGGTTTTACAAGGTTTTTTAAAGTGTTTTAAAGGGTTTTACAAGGGTTTTAAAAAGATTTTATATAGATCTTACAAGTGTAACAACTTTTTGAAAACGTAGTAACACCTTTCTCCAAGAATAAACGTAAAAAAGGTTTTATAACAAGTTATGAAAGTTTTTCAATAATATTTTTTAAAAAAGTCACAAAATACTTAATATGTTATGTAATAAAATAAAGTAAAAACTATATTGGAGCCACACAACTACTTTTGTTGTGTCCATTTTGACCACACCGACGACATTTGTAACACCAAAAATATATTTTTAAAAATATATTTAAAAATATATTTAAAGTTTTTTAAAGGGTTTTACAAGGGTTTTTATAGATTTAATACGTTTTTACAAGGGTTTTATGATGGTTTTAATAGAGATTAACAAGTGTTTTTAAAGTGTTTTACAAGGCTTTTTGTAGGTTAAAAGGTTTTTACAAGAGTTTTATAAGGTTTTACAAGGTTTTTTAAAGATTTTTAAAGGGTTTTACAAGGGTTTATGTAGGTTAAAAGGTTTTTACAAGAGTTTTTATAGGTTAATACAAGTGTTTTATAAGGGTTTTACAAGGCTTTAAAAGATTTAAGATGTTATTTCTATAAGGAGGTTTTAAGGATTTTACAATGGTTTTTAAAGTTTTTTAAAGGGTTTTATAAGGGTTTTACAAGGGTTTTTATAGGTTAATACGTTTTTACAAGGGTTTTATGATGGTTTTAAAAGAGGTTAAAAAGTGTTTTTAAAGTGTTTTACAAGGCTTTTTGTAGGTTAAAAGGTTTTTACAAGAGTTTTATAAGGTTTTACAAGGTTTTTTAAAGATTTTTAAAGGGTTTTACAAGGGTTTATGTAGGTTAAAAGGTTTTTACAAGAGTTTTTATAGGTTAATACAAGTGTTTTATAAGGGTTTTACAAGGCTTTAAAAGATTTAAGATGTTATTTCTATAAGGAGGTTTTAAGGATTTTACAATGGTTTTTAAAGTTTTTTAAAGGGTTTTATAAGGGTTTTACAAGGGTTTTTATAGGTTAATACGTTTTTACAAGGGTTTTATGATGGTTTTAAAAGAGGTTAAAAAGTGTTTTTAAAGTGTTTTACAAGGCTTTTTGTAGGTTAAAAGGTTTTTACAAGAGTTTTATAAGGTTTTACAAGGTTTTTTAAAGTGTTTTAAAGGGTTTTACAAGGGTTTTAAAAAGATTTTATATAGATCTTACAAGTGTAACAACTATTTGAAAACGTAGTAACACCTTTCTCCAAGAATAAACGTAAAAAAGGTTTTATAACAAGTTATGAAAGTTTTTCAATAATATTTTTTAAAAAAGTCACAAAATACTTAATATGTTATGTAATAAAATAAAGTAAAAACTATATTGGAGCCACACAACTACTTTTGTTGTGTCCATTTTGACCACACCGACGACATTTGTAATTTGTTGCAGATTTTCCATACTCCCATCCACTAGGTATTCTCTTTTTCTTAGGCCTGCCACTAGGAACACGAGAAGATGGTGGTCGACAAACAAAAGCAGCAACATCGGCTGGAACCTCCCATTGTGTCCTATCACCAACGGGATATATACTCTCTGAATATGCTAGCGTCCAACTGTCAAACAAAGATGTAATTTTTAAAAATTGTAAGAGTTTTCAAAGGTTTGCAAGACAATCAGAAGGTTTTTTTAGGTCTTACAAGGTTTTTAGAGGTTGAACAAGTTTTTACAAGACATGATAAGGGTTTCACAATGTTTTTATAATATTTTACAAGGTTTTTTGATGATTTTGATAAGAAATTGATTTACAAGGTTTTTAATGGTTATAAAAAATTTTAAAATACAGTTTTATAACTTGTTTTATATAGTAACATACCTGTAAAGTTAGAATATGACATACCTTTTGTTGGAGTATAAGGTATCAACATAATCATATTCGTTAAGATTAATATGTTTTGCAGCCGCTATTGCATGAGCACACGGGATTTTCGTGATATTGAACACACAACACGTGCAGTCTCTTGTTTCCAAATTCACAACATGAACCAACGTACCTCCTTTCACTTCAAACACGTGTTGATTCACTTGTGACACTTCAAGCCAGCGTGCAGTAGAATCATACAGTGTCTTTACTTGCTTCATCACATTCACAGTAACTGAATGCCTATTACGAGTACCCTTCTCATGTCGTTCATTGAACCATCTGGTAAGAGTAGACCTAATTGTATCAAACAAACAGACAATTGGATACTCACGGCTTTCTTTCAACAGAGAATTCAAAGACTCAGCTAAGTTTGATGTCATAATGTTGTATCGATTGGCAGGTGCACAAGCACGTGACCATTTTTTGACATCCAAATCCCACAGATACTGTGCCATCTTGTTGTCAGCAAGAGACAGTTCATGGAACAACTGTTCAAAATCAAACCTTGTGTAAGCATAAGCTGCATCTTTCATAACTGGAATAAGCGTTGAGGATGACTTAAACCCAGTCTCAAGGTTTTTCTCCAAATGAAAAATGCAGATCCCATGATGAGCAAGTGGATAATTAACAATAAGAGCATTGGCAATTGATGATGCACGATCTGACACAAAAACTAAATCAGGTTCATCCGGGATAATTTTCTTCAAACACTTCATAAACCAGTCCCACGAAGCATCATTTTCTGAATCAACTACGCCAAATGCAATAGGATACAAATGAAAGTCACCATCTTGTGCTGAGGCACCAAGCAAAGTCCCTTTAAAATTTGATTTCAAATGAGCACCGTCAATACAAATCACTTTTCTCATCAACTTAAACCCTCTAATTGACGGACCAAAGGCAAGAAATGCGTACTTAAATTTGTTGTCAGGATCGACCTCAATGAAGGTTGCAGAACCAGGATTCTTCTCATTTACCATGTACATCCACATTGGCAAGAACTCATAACCATCTTCAGGTGTACCCCTAGCAACATCGATTGCATGATCTTTAGCTCTCCACGCTTTTGAATAAGAAACTCCAATCCCATTGTCGTGTCTGAATTTTTCTATCAGTTGTTTAGGTTTAAGCGCAAGCTTCTCTCCACGAAAATGATTACTTACCATTTCTCCTAATGTCCTAGCAGTTGCTTGGCGATGATTAACCTTCCTTAGCGAAGAATCACAACAGTGCTCACTAACATACTTTTTAATAATAAAACTATCTGATGCCTTAACCCTAGTTGCACGTAACCTCCAACTACATTTTTCATCAATGCAACGAAGAGTATACCGTGTTGAGTCTGATTTCTTAGTCCGGAACTCGAAGTTATTCTCCATTGCAAATAACTGCATCTGCCTTCCCATTTCCTTTTTGTCCTTGAACAACTTTCCACAATACAAAGTATTTGAAGATGCAGAAATAGTAGAACCACCTACAGGAGCTGAACCTTCAGATATATTAGAGAAGGATTCCGTTTCAGTTCTAACCCTCTCCGGGATGGTTGAGTCAAATCCCATCTGCAAAAGCAAAAAAAATTTGGATTTGAATTGTTTTACAAGGTATTTTAAAAGGATTTACAAGTTATTTTAAAAGGTGTACTAAAAAGGGTTTTTAAAAGGGTTTTACAAGGTTTTTTAAAAAGATTTTTTACTGATTTTCAAAGAATTTGTAAGGGAATTGAAAATACCTCATTCATGACATGACATGCAGGAGCTGAAACAAAAGTTATAGGAGCAGGGTTTGCAGAATACATTTGTACCTGTAATATAATTTTTGCAAATTTACAAGTTATTTTGAATCTTCGTTAACTTATTTACAAGCTATTTTAATGATTTCTTTACTAATTTACAAGGTTTCTTTACTGTTTTACCTCATTCATGACTTGATATGTAGAATAAGGATCTGTATTGCTCTCACTACTAATTGAGATGTTGTTTGTCCCCATCATTGGATTACTGCTTGTTTTCCCCTGTAAAGATAATTAAAACTGTTTACAAATTTGTTAAACCAGTTTACAAAATTGAATGTTGGTAAAATACCTTCTCAACAGTTACACATAGCTGAATACCGCCTCTGAATTCCGCAAGCTTTTTCATAAATGCTTGCACTTGCCTATCATTTCTAATATACATAGGAGGCATGTCTTTTGTAGAGGGTAATGAATAACTGAGTTTCACTATATTAATACCGACATCAATTCCAAAATCTTCTATAACAACAGCACACAAATCAGTGAAACACGTATCCTCATTGATAAAAGTAAGAGACCCTCCTCTTTCAACATCAAATTTAAAATCCCAACAATTGTTATTTTTCAGTTTCCAAACACCAGATATGCAATTCAACTCAATCATTACGACCTGATAAAAAAGATAATGTATTATAATGTTAAACATATGTATCTTTATGATAGTTCACAAGGTATTTATAAAGTTCTTCATGGTTTTACAATATTTTTTAAAGGTTTACAATCTTCACAAAAAACACGGTAAATCAAAATTATTTCACTAATAGTGTACAATAGTTACTGAAGAACATAAATACAGTGAGAAGATGAAGAAGAAATTTTTACAATGGTTTTAGAAAGTTTTTAAAGGTAACACGAATTATAATTTTCAAGCAAGACAAATTCGAGAAAATAGATAAACACAGAATCGAAGCTCTTAATTAATCAATTCAGATTAGAAGACGAAATCGATGAACTTTTGGATCTAAACGGTTCAGATTTCAGAAGCGATTCGAACCTAATTGATGCAGATTGGGATGAGTCACAGATTTTTGATTACAGAATCGATTGATCCTCGTCGATTGAACTCGATTGAACTCGATTGAACTCGATTGAACTCGACGGATCTAAGATGAAGATATCGACGGATCTAAGATCTCATCACCTTTTGTTCGTCGGCTGTGAAGGTGACGAGAGACGCAGAGATTTTTGTTCGTCGTTCCCCAGTTTTCTCTTCTTCATTAAGGGTAAAATAGTCAATTTCAGGGAAGCTATTAGGGAGGGGGTATTTTTGAAAATGGGTATTAAAAAGGGGGCATTTTTGTGAGTCCCCCATATAAGAAATAGATTAAGTCTTTGATAGACTTAATAATAATCTATGTTGACCTCATCAACAGTTTGATTACGGAGATGAATAATAACTTTGTTATTTCATATCGTCAAAATATTTCATGACAGTTTTAAATTGGTTCTGTTAATAACAGTTTGTGATTAAAGTGAAAATCAACAAAAATTGGTGATTTAAACTTTAAAGAGTTAAAGGGAAAGTTGGTGTTTTAAACCAAATTTTAATATTGGTGATTGTTTTGACATTTCAGATGAAGTAAATGCGTTGGGGAAGTTTTTCTTCTTTTTTATGTTTTTTTAATGGTAACAAGTGTTATTGAGGTTGAATTACCGTAGAAATTATGTGGTATAAACTGTAGACTGATGTAGTAATTTGCTGTAGAAATATGAGTTATCAGTCTGATCAATACAAGTGACTTGTAACTTTTGTGCTTTAAAAGTTGCGGTATATGTTATTAAAACTAATTAAATTAAATATCAATGATAATAATAATATTTCTTAAAAATTAAATAATAAAATAAAATAATACTAAAAAATAGTTAATTTGAAAAAATATTTTTTTTAACATAATAGTTATAAAACAAATGACTTACATTTCATAGCATATTTAAAATTACATTTGTATTAAATCTAGTCCTATAGATAGTTTTTGATAATTAAATACAAATAAAAACATAAATTTAAAAATTTAAAGATGTTAAGAAAATTAAGAAATTTAATTACCTATTTTTATGAAATGTTATTGAATAAAAGTAAGATAATAATAATAATTTTTTCTCATTATTCAAATTAATTTAAGACATTTTATTTTAATTTAAAAATAATTTTCTTTTTTTTAAAGTAAAAATTATAACTCAACTTACCACCTCCTAACTCATGAGAATTTCCATTTTTTTGAGTTAATTTTTGATTTAGCAATTTTACAAAGAAGATAACTCAAAAATGTAAGTCACTAGAATTTAACCCGCAGTACACCGCGGGGCTATATTTTTTAAAAAATATAATGTTATTTTTTTAAAAGATTAACTGAAGATATATCATAATAATTTATAATTTTAAATGTAGATATCTATATATATATTATTTAGTGTATGATTACTATTGTTTAGGTTTCAATTTTTGAAGTATAGATACAAAAACATACATTTTTTTTAAGTAACGATGTATGGTGGATTTTAAAATTTTGAATATTTTACTCCGCAGTATACCGTGGGTCGGTTTTTTTATAACTAAAATTTTGAAATTTAAGTTGTATTTGTTTTGTTAATATTGTTTTTTTTTTGTTTTGTGTTTAAGATTGTATAATTGTATTTTGATTGTTAATTTTAGGATTTCATCCGTGATATACCGTTATTTATTAATATCGACCCAAACCCGTCATCTCATATAAACTTGTCTATATTATCATGTTAGCTAAATTATTAGTGTTATAAAATCCAATAAAATAAATTGTTATTATTATAAAATATCAATAATTTTATGATCTCACCCGTGGTATACTGTTGTTTGAATGATTTTAAATTTATATTACTAATATATATTTTAAATTTATTATATAAAGTATATGATTACAAGTTTTTGTCTTTTTTTTTATTTAAATAAAACAACGGCTTAAATGATGATAGATATAGTTTTTTTTTCCTATATGTTTATATGGTTTTTTTATGTGAATATTTTGATTATTATAAATTATTATTTTTATTGCTATGCAAAATGTTAATATAAATATTTGCTATAAATGTTTTCTGAAGATATATGGAAAGATTGTGTAGAGATTTTTAGAAACAAATTAGGCAAGATATTGTTTGGTTAATATCTTTTATTAAAATTTTGTAAAAATAAATAATAAATGCCAATGGCATAGACTCGTAAATAAGGTGAAACTCCAGGATTTATTTGCTAAAAGTGTTCCAAAAATGTATATATAGATCATAACTCAACAAACTTCAACCTCTAATGCAAAATTTTATAAACATATCATGATTGGTAACATTTTTGAGTTATCTTCCTAATTCAATGATACCACATAATAACTCATGTCACCAATCACACCCGTTAAAACGAACAAACACGGAATGCTCGTGTCCGTTTCTACTCATTATATTTTGTATATGTTTTCCAGAATGATTTTCGTTTTTTTTGATCAAGAAGAAATTTCTTGTTAGTATCATATCTTTTAAAAACGAACAAAATCTTTTTTTTTTCCAGAATGATTTTTTAAGTCTTTCCATTAACACAAAAATGTTGAGAAAAAAAAGGGTGTAGTTTTTAAAAGATATGCTCATTAAATTTTGTAATAAACCGAAAGCGTATCATAATTTCGAATGACAATATAATTTGGAGATTTACATGTTTTAATTAAGTTAAGACAAACATCGTAAAAAACATATTTACATTTTGTTTAATCCTAAAATGTTTAGTTCTAACATACAAATTCACTCAAAAGATATATCTTTCATTTTTTTAATCTATATAATCTTTAATTGAAATACTATCTTTTTCATTTCTATCGATTAGTCTTGCAAATTGGTATTCTACGGGGTGTTGTAGCGACACAACAACGATCGGAACTTTTCAACGGCGCAAGAAGATGTCCGGCCGTGCTTTGGTGCCCTTAACTCTTAGGCAAGGCAAGACACTTTCCAAATTCCATGACTTCAGCAGCGGACCCACGTGGATCGAAGGAGAGTCAACTCTCCAAACTAGAGGATTTTGAGATTAGTGGAAATTTATTTTCCTCATCTATTCCAACGTCTCTCTCTTTATACTCCCTTCATTGACCCACCTTAACTTGGGAAGAAATGACTTCAATGGCCCTCTTGAGATTGGGAATCTCTCTTCACCCTCTAAACTTGGAAGTTTAACCCTTGAAGAAAACAGTTTCAGTGGGCCAATCTTGGGATCTATATCAAAACTAGTCGGGCTCTGGTAATTTCTTGACCTATACTTTTGGAACACAAGGAGAGGCATGGTCGATACTCGATATCAACCAGTAGCGGACCCACGTGTATCAAAGGAGGGTCAGCTGACCTCCCTAAAATTTAAAATTTCTTGTTAGAATCATAGGGTTTGTATAATTAAATCTAGCATAATTTGGTTAAATGATATAATGTTATAGCAATTTGACCCGGGTAAAAAAATATTTTGGGTCCGCCCCTGATATCAACATCTTCTTGAATCTCAAGTCACTTAGGTTTCTTGACATCTCTTATCTTAATACAAGAAGCATGGTTGACATAAGTATTTTCTCAAATCTCACGTCACTTGGTCATTTGGATCTTTCAGGGATTAATTTGAAGATCAGTTCAGCTCTCCATCTTCTCTCTCACCCATAGATACGTTAATTTGTTGAGTTTCCCAAGTTTCTTCAAACCAAAACCAACTTTTCTTTTGTAGACATCTCTGCCAATCGGATTGTGGGGATTACCAGTGCTGCGGTATGTAAACATTTTTCAGAATTTCTTCAGTGGTTTTAAGGGATCAACAAATGTTATTCAAAGAAGTGCAAATCGTATGCTTGATATAAGTTCAAACACATTCCATGATTTTCCTTTGTTACCAAACTCAATAATGTTCTTTTCAGGCTCTGATAATCAGTTTTCGGGAGAGATTCCTAGAGAAATATTCAAATTGATTGCTCTTGGACAGTTGTTTTGTCCAACAACAACTTCAACGGTTCAATTCCTCGGTGTTTTAAGAATTTTAATATTACTCTTTCGGTCTTGCATCTTCAGAATAAACCGCCTCTCTGGTATTTTTCTAGAGGATTCTATCAGGGAAACCTTGAGATCACTTGATATTGGTCACAGCCGGTTATCAGGAGAACTTCCCAAGTTTCTGATTGCACTCAACTCGATCTTTTGAATGTGGAAGACAACAAAATCAATGGTTCCTTTCCATTATGGTTGAGATTGTCTATTTCCATCTCTTGCTTTTTGATTAAGAATTTTTTGTGTAGTGTTTTTTTTTTCATTAAAAATTAAGAAACTTTTCAAAATGTTGTACTGTTTCTATTCGACCATCGTATTACCGGACATGATCAGCTGATGGCATGGCAAGGGATGGGAGGTCCGGCGGCGCAAGGCCTAATCCATAGTCCAATAGTAAGGAAAGGCGAAAAAACAAAAATTCTCAAGCCCAACAATATTGAATCAGCCCTCTTCCCGGACTCACCTATATGAGCCGGTCCTGGACAGCTTTTGAGTCAGTTTCAACAAGGTAAAAAGATGGCAAAGACATGTTTCGAGAGACAAGAAAAAGAAAAATAAAAATAAAAAGTAAAAAGTTTTGATTGATAGGTCCCAGTCTTATTATCTTTTTCATTGAGTTCTCACGGTATTTATAAGAAAACAGCATATGATTTTTGAGTCTATCTAGTCCAGTAAGAATATGGAGAAGATAAATCATAAAAACAATAATATCCTAATCAAATTAAAACTATAAAACCAAAACCATAAACCACAACTTGAGCCGGTCACGTTTCATGAGCTCATCAATACCCTCCCCTCGAAAATAACCTTGTCCTACTCAGGAACAAATCTGCAATCTGTTTCTGTTCTTCCCATGTCCTCAACATTTTTTTTTCTTTTTTTTTTTTATATACATAAAGAAATAGAGGTTTCGATACTACAAATAATGTGGTCTGGATCAAAACCGAGAAACATGATAAAAATAGGTTTGATACCATAAAGTGTGGTCCATATCAAAACTGAGATAGATGGTGAATGAAGGTTACTTTTGATACCACGAAGTGGTTCGAATCAAAAGCGAGATGACGGCTCTGATACCAATTGATAGGTCTCAATCAAGAGCTAAAAGACAATGATACCAACCGTTTCTGATAACTAATTTTCATTATCTTTTACATTGAGTTCTCACGGTATTTATAAGAAAATACCACATGATTTGAGTCTATCTAGTCCAACAGGAATAAGGAAAAAATAAATCATAAAAGCAATAATATCCTAATCAAATTAAAACTAGAAAACCAAAACCATAAAATCACAACTTGGGCCGGTCACGTTTCATAAGCCCATCATTGATATTATTATCTAATAATGTTTTTGGGTTAAAGAATACTCCCTTTGTTTCATAATTTAAATCGTTTTGGATAAACTTTTTTGTTTCACAATAAAAGTCGTTTTCAAGTTTTTATGCAAATTTATATTATTTTAATATTAATTATCTATACTAGTATTTTTGCAGTCATTTTGGTGACGGGTGGGTAAAAATGCTTCCGGGTTATTTGGATATCCGACCCGTTTATATATTTTAGTCATAAAAAGTTTGTTGGGTCGGGTTATATTTAACCAAACTCATACACCGGATATTCTGTATTTAATAATTTAGATATTTAGAAGATATGATTAAGATTTAGAATTATGATTCTCCTATCATTTTTGTTTGATTTGTTTTTTAACTGTTTTGAATCATCATATAATATATAAAGTAAAAAAAAATCAATTTTTTTTTTTGCATATATTGTGATTCGAAATTTTAAAAAGGACATATATTATCCAACTGACGAAAATGTGTGTTTAACGTTCTACATCGATTAAAATATTTAGACAATGATTCAGAATCATATCATAAATAAGATCATAATTAATAAAATAAATGAGTTTTTTTGCGGGACGGGTTTGGCGGAACAGGTTTTTGAATCAACAATAATAAAAAGATTAAAATATTATTAATCCGCCGCTTCAATACAGATTAAATCCTTAATTTTTTTTTAATACCACCAATATTAGACATATTAATTAAATCAGTCTCATTTAGAAAAGATTGTATAAAACCAAAAATTGTCCCGTGGTATAATGTTACTTAATAACAATTGTAAACTATAAAATATAAATATCTTAAAAATTATAAAATTTGCAAACTTTTATATATAATAAATAATCGTTAAATTTTAAAAATTACTACTTTTAAAAAAAAAATTACGGGACGAGTTAAGAAGTTACATGGTGGGTTATATTTCGGAATGAAGTTATATGGTGGACGAGTTTGAATCAATATTTATTAAATTTTAAAATTTCATTAACATGCCGCTTCAGTTTATTAAAATATAAATGTCTTAGAGAATGATATGATTTGTAAACTTTTATATATAATAAATAATCATTAAATTTTAAAATAAAAACAAATCACGGGACGGGTTAAGAAATTATGAACGGGTTATATTTCGGAACTGGTTTATATGGCGGACGAATTTGAATCAATATTTATAAATATCATTAACATGCCGTTTTAATACGGGTTAAATCCTCAGTTTATTAACAACTGTCTCGTGGACTCGTGGTATACCGTTACTTAATAACAATTGTAAACTATAATATAAATAAATATTTTATAAGGAGATACAATTTACAAAATATTTTTATACTAACTTTAAAAATAAATCATCCCGCGGTGTACCGCGGGTTAAAATCTAGTTTATATGATGCAGTCTCTTTTATGATTGGTTGAACTTTTTAAAAAATAGATATTCTTAATCTGCGTGCTTTTTTAACTAAAATGACTTATATTATGAAATGGAGAGAGTATTAAATAACTAATACAGAAAATGTAAAAATAAATAAAATAAAGAAACTGTTGTTGATTGCTTTAGAGGTGTGGGCCGTGTGGCAAAGGCAAAGAGGGTTTATCGGAACTTTCACGGTGACTCTCTCACGAGCGTGCCCCATTAAAGAGCGTTTGCGCAATTGATTAGCACTCATCACACAGCTGAGAAAATTGCGTCTACGCTTCTGAATAATCAAAAGAGTCTTTGTGCTGAGGTAACCCCACACCGCAAGTAATTGATTTTGTGGAGCGTTCATTGGAAATTCATAAATCTTTGTGGGAGATGAGGCCACTTTTTACAAGAGACTTGTTAAGTCAATCTTTAATTTTTTCCACAACCGTAAGAGACAAACCATGGGTCTACTAGAGCCATCACTTATCAACATCACTCATATCACTTTCTCAGAAAAGAAAAAATCAAAGAAAAAAAAACTATGTTGCATTCTTGTAGTCGAAGGAAGATGACAATATGGAGCTTGTGTTTGATCTTGTCCCTTTCTAATTCAATACTTGTTTTGGCTTCTCATGTTAGGCACTTGTGTCGTGCAGACCAGAAGAATGCTCTTTTGGAGTTCAAGAACGAGTTCTATGTCCAAAAGCTCCCTTCCAATGGGATTGTTGGTGATAAGAAGACAAAGAGTTGGAGGAACAACACTGATTGCTGCTCCTGGGATGGTGTCTCTTGTGATCCTAAAACAGGTAAGGTAGTAGAGTTAGACCTCATGAACAGTTTTCTCAATGGCCCTTTAAGATATGATAGTAGCTTGTTTAGACTACAGCATCTTCACAACCTGGATCTTGGCTCGAATAATTTTTCGGGTATTCTACCAGATTCCATAGGCAATCTCAAATATTTGAGGGTTTTGAGTCTTGGTAATTGCAATCTCTTTGGAAAGATTCCTTCTTCACTCGGAAATCTTTCTTATCTCACTAGTCTTGATCTTTCTGTTAATGATTTCACCGGTGAGCTACCGGATTCGATGGGCCATTTAAACAAGCTAACAGAGTTGCATCTTGGATCAACCAAGCTCAGTGGGAAGTTTCCTAGTATGCTACTCAACTTGAGCGAGCTCACCTTGATCGACCTTGGTTCTAACCAGTTCGAAGGAATGCTCCCATCTAATATGAGTAGCCTCTCCAAATTGGTGTATTTTGGGATTGATAGAAATTCATTTTCCGGATCTATTTCGTCGTCTCTCTTCATGCTCCCTTCATTGACCTCTCTTGTTTTGGGAAGAAACGACTTCAGCGGTCCTCTTGACTTTGGGAATACCTCTTCACCATCTAACCTTGGAGTTTTGTCCCTTCTAGAAAACAATTTCAAAGGGCCAATCCCGGAGTCTATATCGAAACTAGTCGGGCTGTTTTATCTTGACCTTTCTTTATGGAACACAGGGAACACAGGGAGAGGCATGGTCGATTTCAACATTTTCTTGCATCTCAAGTCACTTACGTTACTTGACCTCTCTTATATTAATACAAGAAGCATGGTTGACATAAGTATATTCTCACCTCTCTTGTCACTTGGTTATTTGGATCTTTCGGGGATTAATTTGAAGATCAGTTCAACTCTGTCTTCCCTCACCCATGGGCACCTTGATTTTATCATCCTGCAATCTTGCTGAGTTCCCCAAGTTTCTACAGAACCAAACCACTTTGTATTATTTAGACATCTCAGCCAATCAAATTCAAGGCCAAGTACCGGAATGGTTGTGGAGTCTACCGGAGTTGCAGTATGTAAACATCTCTCAAAATTATTTCAGTGGTTTCGAAGGATCAACAGATGTTATTCAAAGATGTGGAGAATTAATTATGCTTGATATAAGTTCAAACACATTCCAGGATCCGTTTCCTTTGTTACCAAACTCTACGACGATCTTTTTAGGCTCTGATAATCGGTTTTCGGGAGAGATTCCTAGGACAATATGCAAATTGGTTTCTCTTGATACACTTGTTTTATCCAACAACAACTTCAACGGTTCTATTCCTCGGTGTTTTGAGAAATTTAATACTACTCTTTCGGTCTTGCATCTTCGGAATAACAACTTCTCCGGTACTTTTCCAGAAGAATCTATCAGTGATCACTTGAGATCACTTGATGTTGGTCGCAACCAGTTATCAGGAGAGCTTCCCAAGTCTTTGATCAACTGCACTCGTCTCGAGTTTCTGAACGTGGAAGACAACATAATCAATGACAAATTTCCATTCTGGTTGAGGTTGCTGCCCAATCTACAGATTCTTGTCCTTCGTTCTAACGAGTTCCATGGTCCAATATCTTCGCTTAGAGATTATTTGAGCTTCCCAAAGCTGCGAATCTTTGACATTTCGGAAAATCGCTTCAATGGAGTCCTTCGATCAGATTACTTTGCGGGTTGGAGTGCAATGTCATCAGCCATAGACATTGTAGATATTATGCCAAGTAGGTATGCAGGACGTGACTCTGGAAACTATTATAACTCAGTGACTATGACGGTGAAAGGATTAAAGATGGAGCTGGTTGGGAGTGTTTTCACAATTTACAAAACCATCGATGTCTCCGGAAACAGATTCGAAGGGAGTATTCCCGAATCCATCGGTTTACTTAAGGAACTGATTGTGCTCAATATGTCAAACAACGCTTTCACAGGTAGTATTCCACCATCTATATCAAACTTGACTGATCTCGAATCATTGGATCTATCTAGAAACAGATTATCCGGAAAAATCCCACCAGAGCTCGGGAAACTCACGTTTCTAGCACAAATGAACTTCTCTTACAACATGCTTGAAGGTCCAATACCACAAGGAACTCAGATTCAAAGCCAGAATAGTTCTTCATTCGCAGAGAATCCTGGGCTCTGCGGTGTTCCTCTCCTAGAAACTTGCGAGGGAGAAGAAGAGGAAGCAACAAAGCAAGATCAAGATGAAGAAAAAGACCAAGTATTGAGCTGGATCGCAGCTGCGATAGGCTACGTACCTGGTGTTGTGTGTGGACTCACGATCGGCCACATTCTCACTTCATATAAACGTGAGTGGTTCATGAGAATCTTTCACTATTTTACTTAATCAAAGCAACACTTCTTAGGAGGATGATGTCCCCTTGTCATAAATTTATAATGCGTGTGGTTTGTTCCCAAAATTTTGTTACATACTATCTCTTTGTCTCCTCCTCTTGCTTTCGTTTTTCAATAAATATACTAAACTTGTGAAACTTGATTGGCAACAACTTTGTCTTTATCATTAAGAAAAAGGTCTCAAGAAGAGGGTGTAAGCGGGACCCAGAGCAGATTTCAAAAATCACTTATTAAAATTGTCAGTGTCCTCAGCAACAATCATGTTGTTATCTACTGTGATTCTACTGCTGCATTAAGTACTGTGCCAACAATCTTGTTTTTCACGAGAGAACAAAGAACATCGACATCGATTGTTAAAACACTTGTTACACTTCATGTATGCAGAGCTCGTATACTTGTGGATGTGTTTACCACACCATTGTTTCAACACTCTCATGGGCAATATATAAGATGAGTTTTTCTTCCATCTTTAATTCAAGTAGTCATGTTAAAGTGTTTAGTGACTGTGTCATTATAACCGGTTTAGTTTAAACCGAGTAATTAAGTGTTGACCAATTTAAACCGAAGTCAAAGCCTAAGTTTGAGAGTTGTAACTGTCACAGTTAACGGAAATAACAAATTTTCACAAATCTTAATTTCTTCATATAGCTTAACTAATCTCTTTACAAAAATCACTTTTTTGTTTAGCTAATTTTTTTTTTCTTATTGATTAGGGGTGAAATGATAACAAGTAAGTTTGGTCAAGAACATAAGTGTTTGTTTTAACACTCTGTTTTTGTTTTTTTAACAAGGAAAAAAAGTTTAATTGATTGATTCAGTTGGCGTTGGATAATAATTGTTAATCCAAATGTTCAGGACAACTAATATCATTCCTTTGGCTGTATATGTTTTTACTTCTATGTGAATTAGAAGAAATAAGACAAGAAATTGGGAGTGAAGTCTAAACGAAAACTTGGGAGTGAAGAAATATTAAAGACAAAGATTTGGAGGAAATAAATTATTGATAATTTTGATTTCGCAAGCCAAAGACATGTTCCGGGTTCATCGTCACTTTCACTGTCACTCTCTCAACCCACTAAGAGAGCTGGATTTTGGCAGAGCGTTTGAATGATTAACCCATACCACACGGCTGGGATTATTGGCGTTTGTGAAAATATCTCATCTTTTTGTCTTCACAGAAGACTTTTCAAGTCAAGTTTTAATTCACTCCACAAATGTGAGACAATCCAATGATCAATTCGTTTCACAGAAAAAAAATAAAAAAAAAAAAACCAATCAAAGAAAAAAATATGAAGCTATCTTGTAGTGAGAGGAGAGTGATAACAATAAGCTTGTGTTTAATCTTCTGCCTTTCTAACTCAATACTTGTTATTGCTTCTCCTGCTAAAGACTTGTGTCTTCCAGACCAGAGGGATGCTCTTTGGGAGTTCAAGAACGAGTTCTATATCCAAAGGCCCGATTGGAGGATGTCTGAAACAGCAACAGAGAAGTGGAGGAACAACACTGATTGCTGTTCGTGGGATGGTATCTCATGTGATCCTAAGACGGGAGTGGTGGTTGAGTTGAATCTCGAGTACAGTAATCTCAATGGCCCTTTGAGATCTAATAGCAGCCTGTTTAGACTACAACATCTTCAAACCCTTAAGCTTGGCCACAATAATCTTTCGGGTACTCTACCAGATTCCATTGGCAATCTCAAGTATTTGAGGGTTTTGAGTCTTCGTCGTTGCAAATTCATCGGAAAGATTCCTTCTTCACTCGGAAATCTTTCTTATCTCTCTGAACTTGATCTTTCTTTTAATGATTTAACTGGTGAGATACCGGATTGGATGGGCAACCTCAAATATCTGAAGGTTTTGAGGCTTCGTTATTGCAATCTTTTTGGAAAGATTCCTTCTGCATTCGGAAATCTTTCTAATCTCGCTGTTCTTTCTCTTTCGGATAATGATTTAACCAGTGAACGACCAGATTCGATGGGCAACCTAAACCGACTAACAGATTTCCAACTTATGCTACTCAACATGAGCTCGCTTACTTATATCAACCTTGGTTTTAACCAGTTCAGAGGTATGCTCCCATCTAACATGAGTAGTCTCTCCAAACTGGAGGCTTTTGATATTAGTGGAAATTCATTTTCTGGAACCATTCCCTCTTCTCTCTTCATGATCCCTTCGTTGACCTACCTTGACCTGGGAACAAACAACTTCAGCGGTCCTCTTGAGATTGGGAATATCTCTTCACAATCCAAACTTCGAGACTTATTCATTGGAGAAAACAATTTCAATCCGGGCATTGTTGATTTGAGTATTTTCTCACGTCTCTTGTCACTAAGTTATTTGGATCTTTCAGGGATTAATTTGAAGATCAGTTCAACTCTCCATTTTCCGTCAGCCATGGGGACATTGATTTTATCATCCTGCAATATTTTAGAGTTTCCCAAGTTTCTACAAAACCAAACCAGTTTGTATGATTTAGACATCTCTGCCAATCAAATTGAAGGCCAAGTACCAGAATGGTTATGGAGACTACCAACGTTGAGGTATGTTAACATTTCTCATAGTTCTTTCAATGGCTTTGAAGGACCTGCGGATGTTATTCAAAGATGTGGAGAACTAGATACGCTTGACATAAGTTCAAACACTTTCCAGAATCCGTTTCCTTTGTTACCACGCTCTACGTCGGACTTTTTCAGCTCCGATAATCAGTTTTCAGGAGATATTCCTCGGGAAATATGTGAAATATTTAATCTTAATATGTTTGTTTTATCCAACAACAAGTTCATCGGTTCTATTCCTCGATGTTTTAAGAATTTATCTCTTTCGGTCTTGCATCTTCGGAATAACAGTCTGTCTGGTGTTTTTCAAGAGGAATCTATCAGTGTTGTCCTAGGATCACTTGATATTGGTCACAACTTTTTTTCAGGAGAGCTTCCCAAGTCATTGATCAACTGTAGTCGACTCGAGTTTTTGAACGTGGAAGATAACATAATCAATGGCACATTTCCTTTATGGTTGAGATTGTTGCCCAATCTACAGATTCTTGTTCTTCGTTCTAACGAGTTTTATGGGCCAATATCTTCTCCTAAAGATTCTGTAAGTTTTCCTAAGCTGCGAATCTTTGATATATCAGATAATCGCTTCACTGGAGTCTTGCCATCAGAGTACTTTGTGGGGTGGACTGCAATGTCATTAGTCCACCCCGCAATGTCATCAGTCGTAAACATTGTAGATAGTATGATGAGCATTTAGAAGACACTATCACAAGTCGGTGGCTCTAATAAACAAAGGCTTAAAGATGGAGCTGGTTGGGAGTGGTTTCACAATCTACAAAACCATCGACGTCTCCAGAAACAGATTCGAAGGAGACATCCCTGAATCCATTGGTCTTCTCAAGGAACTGATTGTGCTCAACATGTCAAACAACGATTTCACAGGCCATATTCCACCATCTCTATCGAACTTGAGCAATCTCGAATCATTGGATCTATCTCAAAACAGATTATTCGGCAGTATCCCACCAGAGCTCGGAAAACTCACGTTTCTAGAGAGGATGAACTTCTCTTACAACATGCTTGAAGGTCCAATACCACAAGCCACTCAGATTCAAAGCCAGAATAGTTCTTCATTTACAGGGAATCCCAATCTATGCGGTGTTCCTCTCCAAGAAACATGCGGCGGAGAAGAAGAAGCAACAAAGCAAGAGCAAGCTGAGGCGAAGGAAGAAGAAGAACAAGTATTGAGCTGGATCGCAGCTGCAATAGGCTATGTACTTGGTGTTGTGTGTGGACTCACCATCGGCCACATTCTCACTTCATATAAACGTGACTTGTTCATGAGAATTGTTTCACTCTTTACTTAAGTAAGCATCACTTACTAGGAGGATGATGTTCCCTAGCTTGCAACTATAGTTCAATAAACTTTCTCAACACTTTGTTTGAAAATCATATTATCAATCTATTCTACACTTATTCGAAATATATATAGTGTATATTCTAAAGTCGTAAAGAATATGTTTTGCAACGTTTTATGTAGAAACAAAAATTGTATAATAGTTATAGCATGAAACTTTGGTTACAGAGGATTGTTGTATTATATGACAGAGGATTAATTTTATGAACCAAAAAAAAATAAACCAATAAAGTAGAACCGAAACGGTCTAAATTTAAAAGTTTGTGTATATGTGTAACTCTAATGTTTTGAGTTGTATTATAAGTGTGTTATGCATAGAGTTAGTTCTATAGTTTCCTATAATTTCGTTACCAATACTACTGTATCTCTCTGTCTCTTCTCTTCTTTGCTTTCATTTTTTTCAGATTCAGTTCCATCAACACAAAGAACCCTAAAAAAATTTCACATTACGTTTCATTTCCAAGAAAAAACGGAAAAAAAATCATTAATTACGTCTTCCACATTTCTTGATTTTGTTTTGGTGTACAAAAATGGAAGAGATGAAAAAGGTTTGAGATACGATTCGAATATTCTTTTGCTACTTCTAGCTTCCAGATTTTTTCTTCTTTTTGATTTATTTCATTTACTGGTGATTTGATTATTTTATTGTGGACAAGGTAACGTATAGAAAATGAGTTTTTGTGGGTCTTAATCTTTTTCTTTTGATTTGTTAACATCTTTTGAGGAAAATCAGAAATAATCGAAAGATCCTAGATTTTGTATAGTCGCAGCTGTTTCTTGTGACATCGTTTGATTTTTTGTTTATGTGTTCAGATTTGTCTTTTTCCTTGCTTCTATCTCTCTGTTTTGTCTCTGTGTCTCTGTCTCTGTGTAATCTACTTGTAGCCATTTGTCTGGTTATCAAATTTTCTGCCACAAAGAATATTTTGAAACTCAGAATTTATATTTTCGGAACATAACTAGTGAGGCAATTGCTAAAATTAATTAGTAATCGTTTGGAATATATGTGTTTTATGTTGAGTTTGATTATAAAGTGGATATTTATTCTGATTCTTATTTGTTTGTGTGTTTTTTTTGTAGACGCAATAGCTATCTTCAGCCTAAACTTTCTGGAAATTTTCATCATTAGCAACCTGAAAAATTATCTTAATTTGTACATAAGCAAAACTATAAATATTAGCAAAGATGGAGGAGATGTCACCTGATAATATACATGGAGTCATTTTAGCTGTGTCTTCGAGTATATTCATTGGTTCTAGCTTCATCATCAAGAAAAAAGGTCTTAAGAAGGCCGGTGTTAGCGGAGCCAGAGCAGGTTCTCTGATTCATTGAGAGCTTTTTCTTACTCTTGCTCTTCAAATTAAAACTAATTTTGCTTCTTCATGTTGATTATCTGTGATCAGGTGAAGGAGGGTATGGATACTTATATGAACCTTGGTGGTGGGCTGGAATGATAACAAGTAAGTCTGATCAATATCCTCTATTAATGGTTTTGGTAAATTCTGTTGCAAATCACTTTTTACATGTTTGTTATCTAGCTAGAGATGTTGTGACTTATGCAGTATTGTGTGCTTGGGACATGTTTTGGATCTTATCACTATTCAAACACTCTCTTTTAGCAAGAGAATGTTTCTAGTCATTTATCAGATGGTTCATGGAAGACTCCTGGTTTAAATGATCTAAATTTTGGTTTTATATTGAGACATCACAGTTCTGTATGACAGATATCTGATAGCTTTTGGAAGAGTAACATCATTAGATTGATCTCAAATCACATATTTGTGATAATTTGGCTAATTTTATCCTGGGATTAAGGAGCTACGAACAAGCAAAACCATAGAAAAATTGTTCAAATCCTAGATTCTGTTGGATTTAATATCAATGGGCATGGAGCTTTGGTTATGATAACTAATATTGTATTCCTACTAATTCTTACAGTGATTGTTGGGGAGATAGCCAATTTTGCAGCTTATGCATTTGCACCGGCTATTCTAGTGACACCCTTGGGAGCTCTAAGTATTATTTTCAGGTATCTGTATCCACTATGCCTATCTCTTCCCGTTGTGTCTGCGTTGACGTAGTTTCCTGAAAACGAAAACCGTGTTATGCAGCGCAGTGCTAGCACATTTTATTTTGGAAGAGAAGTTGCATATTTTCGGTATACTTGGCTGTGTCCTCTGCGTTGTTGGATCTACAACGATTGTTTTACATGCTCCTCACGAGCAAGACATTGAATCAGTCAAGCAAGTATGGCACCTTGCTACCGAACCAGGTATAGAACTATAAATGTTTTTGACAAAAAATAGATTCTAATTGGACTGAAACATGCTCTATTGCTTGAATGTTTTAACCAGGTTTCCTTGCTTACTCTGCTGTGGTTTTGGTTGTGGTGCTTGCATTGATCTTCTACTACGAGCCGCGTTATGGGAAGACGCATATGATAGTATATGTTGGGATTTGCTCTTTAATGGGCTCTCTTACTGTATGTTTTCATATTTTTCTTTAGCCATCTCTTAGTATATATCTCTACTCGCTTATAAGTAATTGTCTCGGTATCTCTTGCATGTTAGGTTATGAGTGTTAAAGCTGTGGCAATCGCCATAAAGCTGACTTTTTCCGGGATGAATCAGTTCAAGTACTTCCACGCATGGATCTTCATCATAGTAGTGACCATATGTTGCATTTTACAAATCAACTACTTGAACAAGGTAATAACAAAATTTGGTTTTATTGTCACATTGCAATTTTTTCTGACTAACAAAATCCTGTTTTCATCTTTGCAGGCTCTGGATAATTTTAACACAGCGGTCATATCTCCAGTTTACTACGTTATGTTTACAACATTCACCATCTTAGCTAGTATGATCATGTTCAAGGTAAAATACGGTTATTGAAAAGTGATCATAAACTAAACTATTCATCATCATCATTTGTTTATGGTCCAGGACTGGGCTTCTCAAAGCGGATTGCAAATTGCGACCGAGCTATGTGGCTTTGTGACCATTTTGTCAGGAACCTTTCTTCTCCATAAGACTAAGGACATGGGAAACAGTGCCAGCTTACGCGGCTCCACATCACACTCGCCTAGAGACACTCCTGTTTTCATAAACTCAGGTTCCAGTCGCAGTTCCAATTCCACTAGGCCTGCAATTTTATAATCCCACGGCTCCGATGGTAGATCATCTAACGGTCTAGAACGAGGCAACACGGGCACGAAAGCCTCGAAGAGAACTTTTTTGGGTGGAAAGTGAGAAAAACAGAGCATATTGGGTTTAAGGGTATAATTTGTTTTTTGGATAAGAGAAGGTTTAGTGAATGATTTGTTAGGGATACTATTTGATTGATTGCTTCATGTTTTTAAATATTAATTTTTTTGTTTGTTTCTCATATGAGATATAAAGAAAGTTTTAAAACACAGAATTAAAGTTCACAGCTTCACAAATTTTTCTTCACATTCTTTTTGTCTTTCTCATTTTGTATAATTTGGTCTAATTACTAATCAAGAACACATTGGTCCAAAGAGCGAACACATTTCTCTAGCTTTCATCGACTTAATGTGACCGTGACCGTTACGAATCTCAAAAGAGATTTGATGAGAAGAACAGTTAACAATAAGAATAACCTAACTAGCCTTAGCTTCAAATGTGTATGTCCTTAAAAAACGAGAGGTTAATTAGTCTAGTGAGTTGTAGATAAAATGGCACATGTGATTGTCTTATAAATAAGTTTTTTTTTATGCCATTTTCCAAACAATAGACCGGACAAAAGACCTAATAAAAGGCATCTTTTTGTGTATTATGGTGATCATTTTCCGTAGCGTGGATGTGATTTAAGAGAAGCAGACAAGTGAAGATGGGACATGAGAGTTTGGTCGATTATTTAATTTTATATGAAAACTAAAATTGACTTTCCCTAACCAAACAAACTTCCACGACTCTTCTACTCTTTTTCCATGTGATCTTCTTCTTTCACTCTTTTGGGGCTATCATTTCTTCAGGACACTCGCCTAAGTACCACTTTAACTCTTCTTTGACCACTTGACACAACTCAAAAGGGGTCTCAGGATGAGACTAGTGCCCATAAAAATAAAAATCGGAGAACCGTACGTACTTTGGCCCGACCGGTTTTGTGAAAAGGAAAATCATCGTATTTTTCTTGTCTCTTCGGTAGATATTTTTAAGATATTTTGGATTCTAAGATACTTTGAATCGGATCATTCGAGATTTGAACGTTTAAAATCACATATCTTGGACACTAATGCATTGAAAGTTTATGTATTTTAGTAGTTAGGTTTGGATACTATGAGTACTTTGATGCGTACTTGCTAAACAATTTTAAGATATTTGAGTATCTTGATTTCACGAATCAGATAACAAATACATAACAGAAAATTCTTATGAATTGTGTTTAGTGTTCACGTTTGCATGTGAATAGGATTTTGGTAGTTAGGTATGGATACTACAAGTTGGATACTTTGCAATATGATCTTACGATATTCAGGTATCTTGATTTTAGACTATATATGAATCAGATAACATATACAGAACAGAAAATGCTTTTAGTGTTCACGTGTGCGACGTTTACGTCAATAAGTTCACCACTCAATACATTAGTTACTTGGAACACGTAAAAATCTACATTGAATAGTCAACATCACAATATAGATAGAATCAAGTAGCGTTAACATGCATTGATATGGTTACTGTTACAACAAATTCGATCTATTACTGTTATTAATGTTCTTAGTTTAATGTGTACCATTCATTATTCAGCCGTTGAGTAAAAAAACAAATATCGGTATTGTTGATGCACGAATCACACAAGTACGAAATAGGGTTTCTCTAGGGAAGTAAAAAGAATCTCCTAAAACAATTCGAGCCGAGAGCTCAAATAGCGTTAGGCGAGCCGAGATTGGTGACTTCGGATTGAGGAGTCCGGGTCGTTGATTAGGCCGAACTGTAGGTCGTTTTCCGAGTTGAACAAAGCTTGAGGTCGCTTTCCTTTTCCAAACTGAGATCGGTTTTCGCGTCCTAGCCGAGCTCTTCGTGTCCTAGCCGAGCTCTTTGTATCCTTGCCGAGTTCTTCGTGTCCTTGCCGTGTCAGCGTGATTTTCGATGGATGTGACAGGACTAGTCGTCCTTCTTTTATACTTCTGCGGAGTAGGGCGTACCCTGACAGGTTTTACCGGTTTTGCCCTTGCGTCTGGTGACGTGGCAGATCCGTAGGGCGGCGAGGTCGTCTGGGCCTCGATGCCTTTGGGCTTGAGGCCTGCTTCGTTGATGGGCTTCTCTTGGATTGGGCCTTGTTTTCCTAAAACCCAATCTCTCCCTCAACAGTTGCCCCCCAATCATGATTCATCGTGTGCTGCGAGGATCATGATTGTTTTTCCTTTCCCGAGACACGCAAGAGATCGCCTTTCTTCTCGTCGTTTCGGATCAACGAGTTTCGGCGACGCGCGCGCGTGGGAGAGACGTGAGAATCGATTCGTCCCTTCGCGTGTGAAGCTATCCTAGCTCGTAATTATTGCTCAATTTCGTAGATATAATGATTACTTATCACCTTTTGCTTCTATAAATACCCCCTCCTCTCTCGTCCGTTTCTCATTCTTCTTCCTCCGCTAAAGGTATAACCTTCTCCTCTCTATTTCGTTTTCTCCCGCTTTATCTCGTTTTTTTTTGTTTTATTGCGATGTCTTCCGACGCTAGTTCTCGCGGTTCCGTCTCCGACCACTTCCGTTCTCGCACCTCATCTGATTCTTCGGGTCGTATATCATCCGTTGATCGATTCCGGGCCAATTCTTTTGATGACGACCTGGAGTCCAACTCGCCTCCTCATCGACAGAACTCGTCGAGGTCGTCTGACGCCGGCTCTTCTATTCTTGTGGCCGAGCTGCAACGTCGCGACTCGCCCTCTCAGCGGGATCTTGTCGGGGCTACCTCGATCGTTCCCTTCATTCCTAGTCTCAGAGATGAGGATATTGGTGATGTTAAGTTTGACGATCTGGAGGCAGAGCCTGAGTTCGTCGAGATGCCTTTCGGGGTTCCCGGACCGTCTCCCTATCACGTTGACTTCCTGGGGCCGACGCGGACGTCATTTGAGACCCTCGCATATACCCTCCATTATTGTGACGCTCCGTCTTCGATTGAAACTCGCATTCCGGGCCTATCCGAGCGGCCTTGGTCCGCTCCGGCCGGCTTCCTCTGTGTCTATGAGAGTTTCTTTACGGAATGCGATCTCACCTTTCCGATTTCGGGCTTCCTGCTTGAATATGTAGCGAGGCGGGAGATGGCTCTTTCTCAGCTTTCTGTTGCTGCCATCCGGAATGCGGTGGGCCTGGTTCGGCTGGCGAGTAGGTGCGGCGTGGTTGTCCGTTCTTCTCATTACGAGGAGGTGACCAAGATTAAGAGCCTCAGCAAGAAAAAGCCGGGCTTACACTACGTTCAGTCGTCCACGACTCCTAAGCTCGTCGACGAGGCCAAGAGCAAAACCAGTGACTGGTCGGCGGGATACTTCTTTGTTAGGATTTCGGCGGAATCTGTTGAGGACGTTAGGATTCCGATCTATACAGGGTGGAAAATTTCACCCGGTAGCTTGAGCTCGTCTTCCGCCCTCACACTTCTTCTTTGGTTGCTTTCGATTTCCTTATATCTTTTTTTTTTTGTGTAGCTCGTTTCCCGACGATATTTGATCCATTTCCCGAGCAGCTCAAGAAGGATCTCGAAAAGATTCGCGCTGAGGGTACATACATCTGGCCATCTACTAACAAAGTTGCTCGCCGCCCTTCTCGGAATCCTTCACGCGGTCGCCGAGGTTCTTCTCGTCGAGGGCCGATTCGTCAAAGTTCCAAAGTTTCTGCTCCATCAAAACCAGGTATCGCATATATTGTTCACCTCTGCGGGTTTTCGTTCCCCGGGCTCATATATATATTTTTTGGTTTTAGGTCGTAAAGCAATGGGTAAGTTCGATCTGAGTGTGGTTTCGGATTACGCCAGCCGTTACAAGGAGAAAAGGCCGGCCTCGGAGACTCCTGTGGCGAAGCCAACTCGCTCGGAGGAGCGACAAATGAGGGAGGCCCTGAAGAAGAGTCTCTTAGATCAGGGAGGGCGTCACGCCTTCCAGGCCGGAAGTTCTCGACCGTTGAGCCCCAACTCCGAGAGGGTAAAGAAAAACGAGATGCTCGCAGCTCGCTCAACTCAGCAGGCTGGTGAGGGTGATCGAGCTGTAATCCTTCCCCCAAGTGACGATCTCCGGGCCGTAGGAGCCCGAAGTGGCTCAGTCGAGCCTCTGAATAGGAAGAGGCCGGCTGATACGGGAGCTCGTCCGGTTGCCCAGAAGAGGCCTCGGGTCGCCGACCACCGGTGGTCGTACCGCTATGTTGATAGGGATGTTCCCTTTACATCTAATGCGGATGCCTGTGCTGCTCTATTCCGCGAGATGGGTCATGGCCCCGGCTCGTTCCCTCTAATTGAGGATCTTCGGGAGCGGGATGCGTATACCGAGGCGGCCAGGAAATCATGCGAGGTTATTACTATGTATATGTGTATGTATATATTTTTGTTACCCTTTCTTGGTCGTTTGTTTATATATATTTTTATCAGGCGACTTTCGCGATGAACCGCATGGTTCATCTCTACGAGCGCCGAGTTCGTCGGCTTTCGACCGAGAACCCAAACTCGAGTGATTATCAGGCTGCCATTGCTGCGGAGAAGGAGCAGGTAGATCAAGTCTCGCGAGAGTTGGGTGCTATTAAGGACGAGGCGGTGAAGCTTAGGGAGAAGGTCAACCTTCTCGATCATCACCGGAATGGGCTGATTGCGGAGAGGAACCGTTTGAGCGCCGAAGTGGAGGCAGAGAAGGCTCGGTATGACGAGCTCGCTATGATCCTCCGCTCCGAAAAGGCCAGACTGCGAGAACGTCGTGCTGAGTACGGCGAGTACTGTAGAGGTAAAGCTCTTTCGAAGATGGCCCGGCTGTTTCAGGCTCGTCTCACCCGTCTGCAGGCTCATGTTGAGGATACCCGTGCCGCGCAGCCCACTCTTCTGCTTTACAACCAGGCAGTCGGGAACCTTGGTTTTCTGAAGGCTTTAGTGGAAGACGGCGAGGTCGTCATTAAGTCAGAGGAAACGCTTTCCAGGGTTGAGGCCGACGTGGCGCAGTACAGAGCTGATCTTGCGGCCTTCGACGTAACTGAACTTCAGGATGGCGATTTTGATGCCTATACCCTCTTTGCGGATCGGGACGAGGTTACTGAGAACCTTCAGTATGCCGCCTCGGCTGCCAGTGGTAAGGACTTTGTCGGAGATGACGAGGTCGAAGAAGACGCTGTTGACCAGGACACTCAGCCGGAGGTCGCAGTTGAAGCTCGTGAGACCGGGGCCGAACTTCAGGAGGGGGGTGGTCTTGAGAGCGAGGCCG